CCAAATATCTAGAAGGGGAAAAATGAGAATCATTATTTTTACATATAGGTTGAAACTAGAAATCTATCTAGATTCCCTCTATCAAAACAGTTGCATAAAATATACCTGTCTGAGTGCCAAAACTATTCTTTTTGCAATTAGATTCTGGTTCTTAACAAACCTTTGGTATCATCATTTTTAAGGCCCTGTATGGTTCGGTTCTAAAGATATGGGGATCTAAATGTGGCTCAATTTGCAAATTGTTGAATTTGACCCATTTTCAATGGACAAAATATTTTGCCCTTCCTCACTTTTGTGTTTGTCTTTCTTTAGAAAAAAAATATTAACAAAATACAAAATTTTAGCTGCACTCTTAAAAATAAAGGTGCTTCAAAAGGTTCTTCAAGCGATGCCATAGAAGAACCATTTTTGGTTCCACAAAGAACCATTCAGTCAAAGGTTCTTTAAAGAACCATCTCTTTCTTACCTTTTTGTAATCTGAAGAACCTTCTTTCACCCCAAAGAACCTTTTGTGCAACAGAAAGGTTCTTCAGATGTTAAAGGTGCTTTATGGAACCATTTAGACAAAAAGTTTATTTTATGGCATCGTGAAGCACCTTTATTTTTAAGAGTGTGGGTAAGTTTCTAAAATTTGTTTGATTTGACACGGAATGATCCTTTTGTATTTTATGTAAATGACATTTAGCTAAAAGTGTTAGTGATGTCAAATTATAATTTGCATTGCACAAGATGAACAGATTGCACACTGTATAATGACATTTACATGTACATTTAATCATTTACTGTTTACTGCACTGCGTTGTTCTTCTGCATTGACAAATCAAGGTGGATAATTCACACACTGTCTGTGGCAATTTATTGACTTTGGCATTGAGCACTCACAACTTAAAAAAAAAAAAATCTGCATATGAAAATGTCTAAAATCATTAAGATTGTGTCATAAATGGGTATCGAGCTATATGACCCAGTCCCTGAAAGCGTTTGCTGTATTTTCGTAGTCTACCATCTATCTTCCTCAAGACTTTGGTATGAGCAAACAGTTTATACTGTCATCTTACTGGACGGTCATCTATCATCTCATGTCTTAACGTTGCAGACCAGCACAACTCAACCTTCACTGTCTCTTACATAATGACATGGCCATGAGTTTTCTGAGTTTGCTAGAAAGGCTTTTGATAAATGAAAGCCCCAGTGAAAGTACATTTTATTTAAAAGTCTATTTTTAATAATTACTTAATCATGATGCACTCACAGGACACTTTATTTAATCACATCTTTCATGTATGTGCACTGGCTGCTTTGATGGATATGCATACAAACTTGAGCCTAAGAGAGAATTAGAGTCTTTGAAATCATGTTTAATGCATAGTGAACTCATATCTATGAAATGTCATGTATGTTGTTTGTGTAGATAATATTAGGTTGCAAAATCAGGCTCAGTTTTGAATTCTGCTCCACAGACTAAAATATAACAGCAGAATACACTGTTTGTTGTTGCATATGTCAAGGTCTATCATACCAGGATCAGTTCATAAGGCGTTTGATATGAACCTTTATTAAATAATGACCTTACTTGAAATGCAACCAACCTTTCTCGCAGCAGTTGTAAGACTTCCTAGTCTTTTTTATGAAATAAACAGAGAATTACTGGTTCTAGGCATTGTGGATCAAAGCTAATGAGCAAACTGAATAGAGATAATTTGATTTGATTGTTCTACCTTTGTTGAAGCTCTGAATCATAATTTTATCAAAGCTCTGCAATGCTGTCCTTAAATAACCTCCTTTGCATCCACTTTAAAGTAACAGTTAATTAGAATGACATAGCAAATGGCTGCAATATAACAAAGAGTGAAAAATTTAAGGGGGTCTGAATACTTTCCGTACCCACTGTACTTCTGTCCCACAACAGTTTTCCGGCATCCCTCTTCCACCCCAATTCCTCACTCTTAAATATTCTCATCCCAGATTAGGGATGGGGGAGTACTCTGGGTTTGGGCTATATTCCGAGCTCAGAGCCTTCCCTCAGGACAGCATGCCAAATATGCTTACTATTTGCTCAATCCGATTATATGTAAGTGTGAACTCGTGAAATATGGATTTGTTGTGTGAGGGGTTCTGTGGTATTAGGCTTTCAAGGGATGCATATGTGTATGCAGAACCTACAAAATCTTAGATCAAATGACAAACTGTTAAATATAACAAGTTAAGAGAGCCCTCTGCTATAAACACTAAAATGCTGATCAAAATCATTCTAGATGCTGGCGGTGTGCAAAGCTACATCTGATGACAATGAAATCAGTGCTTTAAGTTTTCAGGTAGGTCTAATGGTAATATTCAGGTACAGAACTACTACATAATTTGAATGAAGTAATCAAATGTTATATAACACTGAATAGTCTTTTTGACACCTGGTAGTCATCAAAAGGAAAGGAAGTCAAACAGTTATAACAAAGTCCCACTGAAGGCAAGTATGATGATCACATGCGCAACTTTTATTAATAAACCAAAACAGAACAAACCAAAAGGTGATACAAAACAGACATGAACTAAACTAGATCTTGACATGACCATGAACCAATCTCACCAACAGCAGGTTACACAGTACAAAGCTAGACAAGACACAATGGCAACATGAGGGCTATATATCAAACAAAAAGGGGTCACATGACATAATCCAACCAATGAACACATGACACATAAAACAGAGGAACAAGACACATGAACAAAAGGGCCACATGGCAGGATCAAAGGAAACACATGTCATGACAAACCAGGAAACTAGACTAAGAGCATGAATATAAGGTGAAAGACATGAAAACAATGAACATGAAACAAAACCTAAAAGTAACGTTACATATTCCCCCCTCAAAAAGGGCAACTCCAGACACCCTGCAGGAACACCCACATGAAGACAAAACCAAAACAAGACTCTGGGAGGGTGATGGTCTAGGGGGAAGGAAGGAGGGCCAGGCCCGTGAAGCGGGATAGGACCTGGATCATGGCATGGACCGTGGAGCAGTGGCAGACGACTTGGACTGTAGAGCAGAGGCGGGCCTGGACCGTGATGGTTACTAGTTCCAGACTAAATGTGATCATGCATTTACTGATCTCACTTGCACAAAAATAGATTCACTATTTCTCAAAATTAATAAAAACAGTGAAATGCAAACTCAGAATATGACACAAACCCGCAATAATTAAATAATGTTAAAGAACACAAATATAATTTATGCATTTAATCCCACTTTATTAACCAATATCTTTGCAGCTGACCTGCGATAATTCAATTCAACCAAGCAAAAATGACTTTAGCTAAACTTTTATGCTTCATTGTTGAGGTAAAAGTGTTGAACTTTTTTCTCCTGCGTCCTATTCTTCATGCAGTCCAGAATGGCAGCACAGCAAAAAGATTTGTTGGAGCTGCCCCCTTTACTCATTGCACTTTTGGTGTGAAACCACTTTTACATTTTCCAAAAATATAATTTTTTTAAATATGAAAAACGAACAAGCAAGCCCAGCCCAGATGAGAAACAGTAACACCAAAGTAATATAATGCATTACTTTCCGTAAGTAACTTTAGTTACTTTTTTAAGGTGTAATGCAACATTGTAATTCATTACTTTTAAAAGTAACTATCCCATCTAAATAATGGTTCAAAATGATCTGTTTCTTTATTATTGTTCTTTGTAATTGTGTTCTTTTTCACTTTAATCTGTTTGTAACATATATTTGCTCATACATTTTTGTGCATTGTTTTATTGTATTTAAATGTTAAAGGTCCTTTTTTATATTTTTGAAAAAAATATTTGAAAAAACTACTATTTGAAAAAGGTTACTAAACCTTTCTGCTACAAAAAGCATTCAAGTTGAGTTTACATGACTGTTTTATGTTAAGAAACTAATTTCTAATGAGCAGAACCACTGTCCAAAATTAATTTTAGATTAATGTCGCCTACACACAGATAGTCTTGTATTAAATTCAATGTAATAATGCAAATATTTTCAAGGTATTACAACTGCGCTGGTACATATGTTTCATATAGGCTGCCCAAAGAGGGCATATGAGAGCGATGAAGGAAAATTTAAAAAATAGTACAGTTGCCCTCGGTTTCTTCAGCTGGTCTTTAGATATTTAGCAGAGTAAGATGTACCTGTGAGTACATAGATATGGTAATCTTCTCTTGGTTCGCATGGCACATAAGGTGTTCAAAATTTCTCCCAGCACAAAATGCGCTGCTTCTTTGACTGTATAGTGACAGAGGTTGATTTCTGTCTGCTCAGCACTTCACTAACATTTCCATTCAGTGCTTTGACACTTAAGAACTGCATCAGGCGTTTCCACCACAGACATGACCTTAACCTGCATAAAATAAGGATTTTTTTTCTTTGCAGGCTCTGCCTTGCATCAGGCGTCACCTCTATATGTCTGTGTGAAACCAATAAATAAATAAATAAAATAAAATAAATAAATTAAAAAAACCTAGTGATACCAAACATGAAGATGCACTGCTTATGTAATTATATTATCTGTTAATAAAAGGCACCAGATAATCAGGGTTCAGAGCTGGTCAAATAGTCATGTTGTATTACACAGATAATATTTGCTGTATTTCTCAGTGAGTGAATTAAATTTTAGAGATGACTCACTTCTGGAGACATCATAAATGGACTGGAGTGGCTGCTTCCGCTCTTTTATGTCAATTGATTGTATCTTCATGGCAAATGGAGTGACAATATTTCCCTTTCATCACCGTGGCTTGAGCAACAGGAAGTTGCTCAATACATGGCTTTGCTGGCTGACACATTTTCACAGTAATAGAGCAGAACTGAATGGTGACCTTGGAGGTGTCTTGAAGACAGTTCGTGAGTGTCAGGGGAAAAGTCGGTAGCTCTCTGTGACTACACTTGTCGACTGTCAAGGCCTCTGATACACTTGTGAAATTAAACACAAGCCTGGGTTCCTGACTCATCCAGATGTATAAACCAGAGCATTCATTCATTTAATGAATGACCAAAAAGGAGATCCCTCTCTCTGCCTCCTCTGCCAGATCTTTTAATGCCTTTGACAACCTGATGCCTCTTACACCAAGAGATTTTAGGAGCCGTTCGATGGAGGTTACAGTGAAGCCTCGACAGCCAACTTCCACTGGATAGGTGACAGCACTCCACCCTGCCTCTGTGCACGCAGCTGTTAGGTCTGCATACGTCTCCTTCTTCCTGTCAAAGGCAGACTCCAGGCCGTCCTCCCATGGCACAGTCAGCTCAACCATAATGACTGTTTTTATGATAGTAGACCAGAGCACAATGTCTGGTCGGAGGGAGGTTATGGTGATCTGCTGTGGGAACTTCAGCTGGTGATCAATATCAGCTCTCAGCTCCCAGTTGCCTCCGGGTGACAGCAGGGACCACTCCTTTGTGGTACTGCTAAGTACCTCACCCCCTTGCCTCACAAACTGGATCAGCCCATGCGATGTTACTGGCCTGGCCCTGCTGGCTTTCAGTCTACGTGTCTCGATGACTTCAGCTAGTTTCCACAGGACCTGGTCGTGACGCCATCCATAACGTCCTTGGGTCAGTGCCGTTTTGCAGCTAGACAGAATATGCTGACAGCTGGGATTCTGCTGGCCGCAAAGCTGGCAGATCTACTCTGTGTCATACCAGAGGTGCAGATCCTGGGGGCTTGGGAGGGTATCATACGTGGCCCTGATTAGGAAGCTCAGCCTTGCCTCAGGCATCCTCCACAAATCGGCCCACGTCACGATCCTGTCGATGGCGGCCTCCCAGGTTGTCCATCTCCCTTGCTGACATTGGCTCACGTCTTTGATCTTGTAGCCCTCCTTTTCCTCCCTCACGACTTCAGAGATCACCAGTTCTTTCCTCTCTGCCTTTAAGGCTTTGGACCACATCTTAGATGATGTTCCCCAACCAAAGCCTGCTCTGCCATATTGCACCACTCCAACAACTTCTTGGTGTTTCAGGCGGGTTATGGCCTGGTGTACTGACTGTGATGCTTTCCGTTTCCTTCCAGTCTGCACTTGGACCTTGCTGCTTTGCACTGCTGGATCTGAAGAGTCTTTCAGCTCGAATACTAGCCTTACTTTCTCCAGCTTATAGCCTAAGCTGATGGATTTCAATGGGAGCCTCAAGGTGTTTCTTCCAAACAAGGCTGCGTTTGACAAACATCAGGGAGGCCCAGCCACTTCCGGATGTAATTATTTGCCTTTGAATCCATCTTATGGACTACTGATAAGGTGATGTCACACAGTTTGAGGGGCCACATCAGACAGTGGTACAAGGTGAATTGATAACACCAGACCTTTAGTTTGCTAGGTAGCATGCTCTGGTCGATCTTTTCCAGGCCATCGGAGAGCTGTGAGTTCATGGAAACAGCCATGTGCTTATCGGACAGGTGTGCTGTGTAAAACCTTCCCAAACTTCTCACTGGTTGATCTATCAAGCGTGGAATTTCCTCGCCATCCACTGAGAAGGAGATTTTGTCTCTCCTAACACCTTTGCGGATCGAGAGACTGCGTGACTTGGCTGGCTTTATCTTCATCCTGGCCCAGTTTAATAGTTCCTCAAGCCTTTTCAGCAGCCTGGTGGTACATGCTGCTGTCTGGAGGAGGGTGGTAACATCATCCATGTAACTTTGTATGGCCGAGAGTCGCTGACCTGACTCCTCTGGCCATCTGTCTTCCACCAATAAGGATAATTTCAAAGGCTACTGTGAAAACGATGGGGGAGATGGAACAATCCATTGCAATGCCTTTCTCTGGCCGATGCCACCCAGTTGAAATTTCTATTGACGTATAACAGACATGGAAGTTATCAAAGTAGCCATTAATAAGGCTCTGGATACTTGCGGGGACATGGAAGTCAAGAGCGAAACTGATAAGCTGGTGGGGAATGGACCCGTAGGTATTTGTGAGATCCAGCCAGACTACATGGAGGTCCGATTTACTGCGCTTGGCTGACTGAATATGTTCCCAAATCATCTCAGGATGCTCTACGCAGCCTGGAAAACCTGGGACGCCTGCCTTCTGGCAACTGGTATCAATGTAGTTATTTGCCTGGAGGTAACTGGTCATTCGCTTTGCCATTACCGAAAAGAAGATCTTCCCTTCCACATTCAGAAGAGCAATGCCTCTGAACTGGCTGATGTTGTGGGACTCTTTTTCTTTTAGGATGAAGGTGGTGTTATCTGTCCTATTTGGTCCATCTTCCATCCGGCTGTTTCCTCTTTGTTCTGCTTGTAGTTACTTTAGGGAGTCTTTGAAACTTGTTGCTCCATATATATATCTATATATATATCTATATATATATCTATATCTATATCTATATATACTGTATATATATATCTATATCTATATATATCTATATCTATATCTATATCTATATATACTGTATATATATATCTATATCTATATATATCCAAAAGGCTCTCAGTAACTATAAGGTTACTATATATATATGAATGAATTATTAAAAAAACAGAATCATATATTATATATAATATGCATATATAAATTATATTATGTATATATTCAGTGCCCTAAATAATTAAAATTACTCCAAATTGCTTCTGCTGCTGTAAACAAATAAAACAATAAAATTACAACAGCCTAAATTAAGTGGAAAAAATCAGCTATAACATAAAGGGTTATTTTATTGAAAATATGGTAACTCTTTACAATAAGTTGTAATAATAAGGTTCATTAGTTAACATTAGTTTACTACTGTAGTTAACATGAACTAAGAATGAACAATATTTCTACAGCATTTATTAATCTTAGTTCACATTAATTTCAACATTTACTAATGCATTATTAAAATCAAAAGTTGTGCTTGTTAACGTTAGTTAATGCGCTGTGAATTAGCATGAAGTAACAATGAACGACTGTATTATCATTAACTAACATTAACAAATGTTAATATATTATTTTTTATTTTAATATATTATGTTAATGTTAATATATTTGGTATATTAACAAAATTAACATTAACTAATGGAACTTTATTGTAAAGTGTTACCAAAAATATGAACTGTTACAAAGAGTTTATTTTTTATAAATTTAAGGTCGAAGGTCGGTTTATACAGTTTGTTTTGGCCAAAAGAATGGTTTAAAATTTTTTTATGTTATCTTTTTTTCTATTTGATGTTTTGTACTTATTTTATTGTTTATATTTTGCAGAAAAAAAAACATTATGACCATGACATTATGCTATGCTGTTGAGGCATGTTGTCATTACGTTTAATGAACTGTAACATTTTACCTGTGGAACATGGTGGAAATGGCTTTTTGCCCCCATACTCCCCTATGTCAATTTGTGGATATATATGCATATTAATGCATAAACATGTTTTGCAACTTAATGTTCCATTTAAGTTCACAGTGGGTAATGTGGTTATGTATAATTGAAATAGTCAACATAATGCGTCATTATGCAAAAATGGAAGACTGAGATTTGAGATATTTTCCTTTTTGTGTCTCTCTCTGTCTTTACCTTTACTAAAGTGCAAGAGTTGAGAAAGGTGACAGAAAACATCATTCACACATGGTCTCCAAGCTAACACAGATTCTCTCATGTTTATCACCCCTCACACACACACACACACACACACACACACACACACGTCTCTCCTCTCACATATCTCTCTTCTTCCTTTTACTGCTGTTGATCAGCAGCATCTTCACCTGCGTGCTACTCTCTCTGCCATTGTGTGACACACAATAACTGAGACGGCACTTTCATCCCACATTATTTGCCCTAACTGACAAAAAACACCTGCGCTTGATGTTTTTCAGACAGTTTTTTTTTTATTTCAAAACATGTCTCACAGAACATGAAATAGGGATCGTAAATAACTACAATTATTCTGCTCTCTTTTTTATGATTTTTGGTCCACCTTCACTAGGAAAATCATCATGAAAGTAGATATAATTTTATTAGGCATCATTTGGGAGATGAATACTAATAAAGGAAGTAAGAAGAACTATTTTTATATTTTCTGAAGAAAATATTGGTTTTCTTTGCTCATGCAGAACTTGCCAACACAATGCATATCCATGAGATTTTAAGTCTACAGGATTTTGGTGGCAATTGGGCTTGGTAGGAAATTTAAAAAAAAAGTTTTTGAAAGAAGTCTCTTATGCCCACCGAGGCTGAATTTATTTGATCAAAAATTCAGTAAAAACTGTAACACTGCAAAATATTATTACAATTCAAAGAACCATTTTCGATTGTAATATATTTTAAAATGTAATTTATTTCTGTGATGCAAAGCTGAATTTTCAGCATCATTACTCCAGTCTTCAGTGTCACATGATCTTTCAGAAATCATTCTAATATGCTAACTGATTCTTATTATCAATTTTAAAATAGCTTAATAATTTTGTGACATTTTATTTCACAATTCATTGACGACTAAGGTTCAAAAGAACAACAACAGTTTGAGATATATATATACAGTATATCTCAAATTGTTGTTGTTCTTTTGATCAAAAGTGACAGTAGACGTTTACATTGTTACAATATGTGTGTATATATGTATATATATACATATTGTAAAAATGTAAAAGTCTACTGTCACTTTTGATTTTAATGCATCCTTGCAAAATTAAAATATACATATCTTTTAAATGGTTGTGGGAAAGTTAAAACAACCCAAATGCAATCAATTGCTTAGAAAAGTAACAGCACACCTTAACTGAACAAGCTGCTCATTTTGGGGTATTTTAGGAGGCTGGACATACTCTAAAAAGCAAAAAGGAGTCAACATATGTCAGTTCAACATGCCATGCATTTCCACTGATAAAAGCACAGATTAAGAAAATATGCAAAATGTCATGACCACAAAACTTTGATTAGTGTTAATGTAACTGCGTGCATCTCTCTGGTGCTTTAAACTGCTCTCCGCTCGGTGAGCTGGACGCCTGCCCTCTTGGCGAACCGCCTAGATTGGCCATCTCAAAGTCTCATGCCCAAAGTTCAAATCCACCTTGGAGCTACAGCACGATCCACCCCATTACTTATTCTAAATTAATTATGGCATAATGATCACAAAATCGTGCTGGCTTATGACTGAAAACTGGGGTACTTTGTAGTTTTAATTCTCAGGGGTATCTTAAAGGAATATGCCATGCCATTTTTCTATCTGATAAATTCTTATTGCACAGCCTTCAAAACTCACATTTATAATATAACTTATAGCTTATCAACTGTTATAAGAGAAGAGAAAGCACTTCTCAGATCTTCTGCTGTTGATGTCAGAGGGCAGTGTGTTCAATCTCTGGTATTTTAGAACACATTCATCTGTCTCTTGGCTATTAGTAATGCAATATCTGGATCAGTGTTTGTTCTCGGTGTTAGGCTGGTAAGTCATATTTCTGTTCTTTTAGCAGTTATACAATTGTGGTATTCGTCCTTTGTCATGTTAATGTAATATTTAATGTTTTGCTTCAAGGACATTTCTGGTACATTTGTGTCTGTAATTTTGGTACTGTCATTAGGGATGCACAGTATACAGATTTGTCATTGACTAATATTAAAGATTTTTAAATATTTATAAATATTTGATATCTACTTATATGTATTCTCATTAACCCTATTCTTTACATTTCAGATTACCTTTATTGTCATCTAATATTCACTTAAGAGATAGTTCACCCAAAAATGAAAATTCAATAATTTACTCATGCTCTCATGTTGTTCCAAAAAGATGACATTATAGGGTTTTTGGTGAACTATCCCTTTAAATTTAATCTTTAGCAAATATCATTATACCATATTATAATGTTGCAATGTTGTAATTCACTAGTAACATATGAAATAATTGACTTGAGTTTTTATTTTCATTTTTTATTTGTATTATTTTTACAATTTTTGACAAAATAGTAGGCCATTTATGTATTATTTATCGGTTATAGTACACTTGAAATAAAAAAATAATATAAATTGGAGTTCTACAAAAAAACACTATTTAATTTTTTCTATTTTAAATGTTTAATTACATGTGTTCCTTTGTAATAGTTTGTAAAATCTACTAGCAATTTCTGCATTAAAATTGTTTCAACATCAATTTTATTTTCAGTGTATACAGTAATAAAATAAATAACAGCATTACCCTATCATTCAGAATTTGAATATCAATGCATCTCTAACTGTTTTTGATTTTATTTGCAAGCATCTCAAATATTTAAGCATGATGTAAAAAAGGTTACAACTACCTTTTTATGTAAAGTATCTAGAGTTTTCAAATATTATATACACAACCTAATTCAGAAGAACTGAATGTATGGCAAATTTTATTTGCAAACTTTTATTTTGTTGGTTGTGATCATTAATTTCTGACATCTATGTCACCCACTTAAAACCAAATCAAAATGCATCCCATCATACTGTTACTAATGAACGTAGGGCTGAACTCATATGATGCAATTAAATATCTGAATTGCTGATGATGTATGAAATGCCTGGATTTTTGACGATGGTATAATAATGAGTAATGTGCTGTTGTTGGACAGCTTTTGAAGCTTTGAGAGTTTTTCTACCTTTCAACTCACTCTTTCCAACTTGTCCTTGAACTGTATTTTCAGACAAGATCAAACAACCATCAGGATCCAGGATAGAGGTTCGTCTTGAGTGTCTTTGATGCGAGAAGAAATAATGAAACTAATGGCACCTTTCCTTTTGTAAGCATAGAATTAAAAAGAATATTCCTTACCTGCATAGCAAATTCAACCTGCCTCAGGATGTTTTGTTACTGATTTAATTTTCTGGAGGAAGAAATGAAATCATAATCACATAATATATAATATTCATTTGTGAATTTTTTTTATTTGTGACAAGCCTATGGATAATTTGGGGCACAATGTTTCTGAGAAGCTGCCTTAGGGGTTTTCGAGAATATTTTTGTAAGGAAAAAACAATATAGACATGAACAAATGGAGTCATATCCGGTATTCATAGCTGTATTCACAACATCGTCTTAAATGGCACATATCTAAAATCATTTAAAAACTGACACAGATGCTGTTTTTAAATGACATTTGCCATTGCTACATATTGTGTTTCTCAAGGGCAACAAATGAAGTCTAACTTTTTCATTGTGACAAAGCTTGTAGCTGACCTTTAGTTGACATGTTGCCAGGTTACCCTTGACCCTGCCTTCTTTTAATTAACAGTTTAGACACTGACATAATTTAATTGGTGGTTTAAGAGAATGGGAAAACTCACATTTTATGTTCTTCACAAAACTAATGGAAAACAGCCAATGGACAAAAGTAGTCCTATACAATTTTGAATAGATTTAAAACGTCCTGAATCCTCCTTATGTATAAAGCCCATAATGAGCAAGGACCAAACTCTATAATATTGCCAACTCTATTGTTAATTACAGTTTACAATTACTTCTTATAAGTCTGGAGTTGGAACGATTGTTATGCTAAATTTTTTGAGTCTTTTCAAGACTCACCAAGGCTGCATTTTAGCAAAAATACAGTAAAAATGTGAAATATTTTTACAATTTAAAATAACTTCTATTTGAATATAACTTAAAATGTTATACATTTCTATGAAGGCAAAGCTGATCCTTTGCATCAGCATCATTACTCCAGTCTTCAGTCACATGAACTTCAGAAATCCTTCTAATATGCTGATTTGCTGAATGAATTCTTAAAATCTTACTGACCCCAAACTTTTGAAACGTAGTGTATGTGGTCTACTTAAAAAAATAAATAAAATTGAAAAACACTACTGCAGTTTTAGATACCCAAAATATAATCTAGTATCTACATTAATGCGTTCCTTGTAAAATGAGTGTGATAAAGAATAATGTTTTAGCAAATGGCGCTATCTTTCTTTCTGTAACACTGCAGTTGCATTGTTTCATCACAATTCATCTCGCGCCAACTGTACTTCAGAGTGCCGGCTGGCTGAACAAAAGGGGTGTTATATAATTTCTTTTCACAGACACTGGTACGATATCCTAAAAATCTCTGTCGCTCTGTCTCTCTCCTCACTTATAATGAATCCATTTTTAATTAAGGGTGACAGAGTAAAGGTCTCCGGATACAGTCTTTCCCTCCCTCCCTCCCTCCCTCCCTCACTCATTCACTCACAGTAAGTTTAAGTGTAAGTTTGCGGTTGTTTTATTAAACTTCTGTCTTGCTGATGGGGGCGACGAGCCTCCTTTGGTATTGTCTTGCTTGACCATCAGATTTATATAGAGACACTGATTAAACACTGTGAGATATCTGATGATCTAAGCGCACTATGACAGAGACTCGTCTCCCATGGGCAACCTGCTGGGAAAGTGAGCGTTTGATGAAGTTTCAGGTAGAGAACTTCATAACGGCATGTGTAATCCCTCAAAAGTTGTCAGACTCATGGGGATTTTGGATTCTATAGAACAATACCCCCCTTCAACCCAATCCACGTTTTTGATATACAAGGCAAAGCGCTACTCTAATGGATGTTTGATGAAAGTGGGTTTCATTTCCATTAAGTGAAGGTTTTTTTTTTCCCAGAGTGCATGTCTCATCTAAAATAGTGCACTGTATTTTTTGTTTTGGCACCTGTGAACGAGATAAGAACAAAGGCCGATCAAAGTTCTTGGGACAAACAAAAGCTCACCTCTGAAAAAAACGAATCAACACATTCTGTGCACGTTGAGTGCTTCAACAGCTCTGGTTCCACAGTGATCTTGTAATAGTCTACCTGTGGAGGCAATTTGAACAAATCACATATTTACCTTGTGCCACACATGACATTATCCATGAACAGCATACAAAATCAGGATCCTTTTTCAACTAGCTTTAGCCTTCAGAATGTATTGTTCATGTGCTTTAGCTTTTCTCTTTACATGGCTGATCATTTTTCTTTCAGTAACCTTGGTGACAGGTTTAAATGGTTGAGCTTCTATACAGAAAGGTTCCCACTGATGTCACTTCCTGGGGGTCACAAATTTATGCAATATTCCTTTTTTTTTTTTGTAATCGGGGACATTTGTGCTGTAACCGGTTGCATGCAAAAAAAAAAAAACACCTACATTTAAGATTTATATTGCATATAAAAATTCCATCCATTTGGTTTACGCTGTTTTACCATAAATGCATATTTGTGATATATATTTGTCAGTCATACAGTAATTGAAAAAGGTATGATTTCTTTACTAAAAAAAAAAAAAAGAGGAAAGTTTGTCTTTTTGCATCTATTTGATTTTATTTACTAAAATAGCTTAGAATCAGCATACATTTGTTCACTGAAAACATTCAAATGTATTAAGCTAAAAACTATTAACGTGGTTTAAAAAAAAAAAAACTAACTGTGGAAAAAGCAAGCAATTAGTTCATAAAATGTATGAGACTGAAAGAATAGTATTTAAAACAAATTCAGTTATAAGTACTATTACAGAAATCTCCATTTCATTTGTGTATGACTGACAAATATGCATCACATGAAGTAGTTTGTTAAAACTGTAATGTAAACTAATGTTAAAAACTATGTGTCATAAAGCAAGGCCAGACACAACGAATAAGTGAAAGACAGGATGGTTTATTGATACAAGATGTGGATGAGTGGAACGGGTTAGGTTAAGGCAGGAGAGTGTCAACAGAGTGAAGGATTCCAGGGTTCTTATCGGAGTTCTGAGGGTGAGTGTCTGATGCCGGTTTCGTGGGAGATCATGGAACAGCTTCCAAGGAGTTGTTGGAGGATCGCGGGAGAACCAGAAGGTAAGTCTTTCTAGGAGAATATCGTATAGAGAGTCCAGAACAGTCCATAGGAGTGAACGGTAGACCGGACAGTGTGTGACTGATGTGTGTATTTGTAGTGTGGCTTGATTGGTGACAGCAGGTGCGGGTGATTAGAACTCAGGTGACTGTGATCGGGTGATTATCCTGGCTGGTGACTGCAGTGAATCCCTGACATTACCCCCCTCCAGGGGCGGCTCCTGACGCCGTCATGCGGCAACGGGGGCGGCCATGGCTTCTGGGTGCGGGGTGACCAGGATGGGTGCGATGGAAGTCCTCCAGTAGCAAAGGGTCCAGAATGTCATCCCTGGCTACCCAAGAACGTTCCTCCGGTCCATAACCATCCCAGTCTACTAGATACTCCAGCCGCCCACCTTGTCGCCACGAGTCCAGGATGTCCCGGACCAGGTAGATGGACGGTTGGTCAAGGATTTCTGGAGGAGGCGGTTCGTTAGGTTTGGTGGGTCCTGGAGCAGAGGGAGAGTGAGGTTTAAGGAGTGAAACATGGAAAGTGGGGTGAATTCGGTACCTGGGTGGGAGTCGGAGTTCGTAGGTGACTTTGTTGATCTGCCTCTGTATCGGGAACGGACCCATGTAGCGGGGACTCAGCTTTTTACAGGGCAAGCGTAGGCTCAGATCCTGGGTGGAGAGCCATACTTTCTCTCCTGGATGGTAAGTGGGAGTGGAAGTACGCCGAGCAACTGCGAAGGCCTTATGCCTCTGCATGTTGGAGATGGAGGTGAGCTGAGTCCCACACTCCCTCGCTCACTCGGAACCAGTGGTCTACAGCTGGAACCTCAGACGGTTCTCCTGTCCACGAGAAGAGTGGGGGCTGGTACCCGAGTATGCACTGAAACGGTGTGAGGCCGGTGGTGGTCTGGGTCAGGGAATTCTGTGCATACTCGGCCCAAGGGAGGAAACGGCTCCAGCTGTGTTGGTCGTCATGACAGTATGCCCGGAGGTAACGTCCCAGTTCCTGGATCTTCCTCTCAGTCTGGCCATTTGTCTGGGGATGGTAGCCTGAGGATAAGTTGACCATGATCCCTAGTAGTCGGAAGAATGCCCTCCAAATGCGGGAGATAAACTTAGGTCCCCTGTCAGAGACTACATCCTCGGGGACTCCGAAGTTTCTGAAGACGTGAGTGAATAAACTTTCTGCAGTGTCGAGAGCGGTTGGAAGTCCTGGGAGGGGGATTAGCTTACAGGCTTTGGAAAACCGATCTACGACCACCAAGATGCAGGTATTCCCATCAGAGTTGGGCAAGTCAGTCACAAAATCGATTACCAGGTGAGACCAGGGTCGACGGGGAATCGGCAGGGGCACTAGCTTGCCTACGGGGAGGTGACGAGGGGTCTTGGACATGGTGCAGACTGGGCAACCTCGGACGTACCTGATGACATCCTGGGTCATACTGGGCCACCAGTACCGAGCTTGGAGGAGCGAGAGGGTCCGTTGGCTGCCTGGGTGTCAAGAACAATGCCCAGCGGGCTTGGCGTGGGTTTAGTCTCTTCGCTTCGCTGAGGTATTGGAGATTGTGGTCGGTAATGCCTGTGAATGGATGGTTTGCTCCCTCCAGCCAATGCCACCACTCCTCCAGGGCGAGTTTGATGGCCAACAACTCCCAGTTGCCGATGTCGTTATTCTGCTCCGCTGGGGTCAGTTTCTTAGAATAGTATGCGCAAGGCTGGAGGCGAGGCTGCCTGGGTGTCAAGAACAATGCCCAGCGGGCTTGGCGTGGGTTTAGTCTCTTCGCTTCGCTGAGGTATTGGAGATTGTGGTCGGTAATGCCTGTGAATGGATGGTTTGCTCCCTCCAGCCAATGCCACCACTCCTCCAGGGCGAGTTTGATGGCCAACAACTCCCAGTTGCCGATGTCGTTATTCTGCTCCGCTGGGGTCAGTTTCTTAGAATAGTATGCGCAAGGCTGGAGGCGAGGAGGCTCACCATAATGTTGGGACAGCACGGCCCCAATGTCGGTGGTGGAGGCATCCGCTTCCACTACGAACGGCATGTCCGGATCAGGATGAAGGATGGGGGCCGTGCTGAAGGATGGGGGCCGTGCTGAAGGCTGTTCTGAATCTAGTGAGAGCTTCGTGGGCGCTGGTGGTCCAGGACAGGGACTTGGGATTTCCTCGGAGCATGGAAGTCAAAGGAGCAGTGTGGGAACTGAAATCCTTGATGAATCGACGATAGAAGTTAACAAATCCTAGAAATCTCTGAAGCTCCTTTACGGTCTGGAGAAGAGGCCACTCCTTGACTGCATCAACCTTCCCCTGATCCATCTGAATCCCTTCCTGGCCGACGATGTAACCCAGGAAATGTACCGTGGGGAGATGGAATTCACATTTCTCCAGCTTTAAGAAGAGATGGTGTTGACGTAACTTCTGTAGGACCTGCTGAACGTGTTGGCGATTGTCGGCCACGTTCCGGGAGTAAATGAGTATATCGTCGATGTAGACGATCACAGAGTGGTGGACGAACTCCCGGAACACCTCATTCATGAATCCCTGGAAGACAGACGGGGCAGTGACTAGCCCATACGGCATTATAAAAGGTACTCATAGTGGACAAATGGTGTAATGAATGCCGTCTTCCACTCGTCACCCTCCCGGATTCGAACGAGGTTGTATGCACTTCGCAGGTCCAGCTTGGCGAATATGCAGGCCCCATGGAGTTCCTCGAGGGCGGCCGGGACCTGGGGAAGTGGATAGGGCAGTTTCACTGTATGGGAGTTCAGAGTCCGATAGTCGATACAAGGCCGCAAGCCCCCGTCCTTCTTGCCCACGAAGAAGAAACTAGACGCAGCTGGAGA